TGTGTGTGTATACAGCCATATTACGATGAGATGTTTGATATGTTGCCCGGGATCTACTTTATCAGCACAGTGATTAAGTTCATCTTATCACTGAAGTCTTTACAGTCCTTAAGCCAATGCGGAGTGATAACGCCTAAAGAAATGCTCCTTTGCCCTATCTTTGCAAACCCATATGTTCTTGAGTGATCCTTCACTCTCTGCTGAAGTCTAATCAATATTTATTTCATCTTTGTGCACTGCAGGTCTTATCACTAGCAGTCAATCACTGGCCTACGCCATAAGCAAGTTCATAAGCGGTGTGCTGTCCGATCAGATGAGCGCACGATGGCTTTTCTCTGTTGGGCTGTTTATTGTTGGCGGCATCAATGTGGTTTTCGCTCAGTCCTCGTCAGTGGCAGTGTTCTCAGGCCTGTGGTTTCTGAATGGACTGGGTCAAGGTCTAGGATGGCCACCATGTGCAAAAGTACTACGCAAGGTATGGATCTGATCCTGTAATCCACGGACTTGCATTGCACATTGAAATATACATATATACACTCTTAAAAAACTATGGTTCCATTAAGAACCTTTAACATTCATGGAACCTTTCCATTGCACAGAAGTTTCTTTATAGATTAATAAAATGTTCTTCACACTGAGAAATAAAAAAAAAAGTTATTTTAAGAACTCTTCACTATAAGGTTCCTTGGGGAACTCAGTATGGTTTTTGAAAATACTACTTGTTGAAAGGTTTGGGGCCAGTAATTTTCTTCTTTTTTTTTTCAATGCTTTTGAAAAAAAAGAAGCATATATTTAAGATGCATTTCTAGTGTACATATGAAATTAACTGATTCTTTTGTTTAAATAGTGGTTCGAGCCATCTCAGTTTGGGACCTGGTGGGCAGTGCTGTCTTGTAGTATGAATTTGGCTGGGGGTCTTGGGCCCATAATTGCCACACTAATGGCCCAAAGCTACAGCTGGAGGTTCACGCTGTCCATCTCTGGCCTGACCTGTGTGGTCATGTCCATCTTCTGTCTGCTCATCATCCGAAATGAGCCCAGTGAAGTTGGCCTGCCAAATATCGAAGCTGGTGCAAAGAAAGGCAAAGGAGGTATGAGGACTTCCCCATCCACATGCACATGCATTTGATATGTATAATTAATTTAACTGAATATCCTGTTTCAGTAGGAAATGCATCACATTAAGGAATTCAAACTGGCAATGTGGTTTCATGTTCATTTGTAGTTTATTATGGCTAGTTTTGCTTATATAGGTCATTGCTGTTCTATGTTATTGTGAAAGCATGCATTAGATAAAAGGTTTCACTTGCTAGTTCTTTGAAGAATTAACTATTGGACCAAAACGGAGTACAAAGGGGTGTGTTGTACTAGGCCTGTGTGTTAATTCATGTTTTTTTTTTCCGTCGAATGTCTAATGGACGCTTGTGTCTGTCCTCCAGCAACAGTTGTGCATTTGATCCATCTGGTATCTACCTCTGATTTCAGGCTCCAGCAAAAATGAAAGCACCTTCAAAGAGTTCATCTTTTCTCCATATCTGTGGGTGATGTCATTGGGATACCTGGTGGTGTTTGGGGTGAAGACTGCTTACACTGACTGGGGGCAACTTTTCCTTATCCAGGACAAGGGCCAGTCAGCACTAATGGGTATTGTGTGTTGTCTAATGTATTGAGTTTTAAAGGGATAGTTCACCCAAAAATGAAAATTATGTGATTAATTACTAACCGTAATGTCGTTCCAAACCCGTAAGACCTTCGTTCATCTTCGGAACACAAATTAAGATATTTTTGATGAAATGTGAGAGCTCTCAGACCCTGCATAGACAGCAACGCAACTGTAATGTTCCCAGGTCCAGAAACGTAGTAAAGACATCGGTAAAACAGTTCATTTGATATCAGTGTCTCAACTTCAGTTTTGCGAAGCTATGAGAATACTTTTTGAGTGCAAAGAAAACAAAAATGACATACATTTTTCAACAATTCTTCTCCCCCGAGTTACGTCTTCCGCCATTTTAGAGAGTATCACAATGCATACGCACACTTTCCCCTAAGCGTAAACAACGCTGATTACGCAGATTACGTTCATGCACGCACTTTCTCCTGATTACGCAGATAACGTTTATGCGTGCGCATTTTCCCCCGAACGTAAACAACGCTGATTACGTCAATTACACTGTTGGGTACTCTCCAAAATGGCGGAAGACGTAACTCGGGGGAGAAGAATTGTTAAATAAATTGTTATTTTTGTTTTCTTTGCGCTCAAAAAGTATTCTCGTAGCTTCGCAAAACTGAAGTTGAGACACTGATGTCACATGGACTGTTTTACCGATGTCCTTACTACGTTTCTGGACCTGGGAACATTACAGTTGCGTTGCTGTCTATGCAGGGTCTGAGAGCTCTCACATTTCATCAAAAATATCTTAATTTGTGTTCCTAAGATGAACGAAGGTCTTACGGGTTTGGAACGACACGAGGGTGAGTAATAAATGACAGAATTTTCATTTTGGGGTGAACTAACCCTTTAAGTTTTTTTTAGTATCCACCTTATTTTTAATGTAAGAGCTGGTGCAGCCAATTGTTAACATGAATGTGCAAAGGTTTCTGTGTTGTCTGTTATTTTAGCTGTACAAGCACAGGCCTTTATGCTGCCTAATATTGTAAATTGGTATATCTTATCGTATTTTATTTTAGTTTATATCATAATCATAAACACACTGGTTTGTAGTGCAAGTAGATTTACTGTTTAGTACACACTTTGTTATTCTTCTAGTTTTCAACCTATAGCAGCTAATGAATCAAAAGTTTTGCACATTCCCAGAAAATAGCTTACATTTTTACATATTTTACATATTAGCATTGCACAATAAGGTGAATAGGCCTCTAGTGTGATCTAATGAGGGCCTTAAAGATGTCAATGGCAGCGTTTTGCAGTGTGAAGACATTTCAGTTCTAAAAAGTTACAGTTTATGTTTTCATAATTCCATATTACAATGAACTCTTAACTTAAAAGATCAGGCACAATTTCACATTTTATGTTCTCTTTCAGAAATGGTCTGCTAAGGGTGTGATGAGACTTTTGGGTTATGGACTGAAATGCATATTGCTGTTGATTTTAACAGGAAGTTCCTTTATGAGTGCCCTGGAGATTGGAGGACTGCTGGGTAGTTTAGCCGCAGGATTTCTGTCAGATAGAGCTGTGGCAAAGGTGCATTTATACCACCAATATATATTTATACAAAATCTTTATACCATTTTCATCAGAAAATCTGTTTATATTCTACCATTCAGAAGTAGGTTGTGTTTTTTTAAATGTTTTTGAAGAAGTAGTCTCTAATGGTCATAAAAACTAAGGTGGTGCATTTTCTTGTTCTCTTGAATTTCAGCATGGATTGCGTCTGTATGGTAACCCTCGCCATGGGCTCTTGCTCTCCATGATGGCTGGGATGTGTGTCTCCATGTACCTCTTCCGCACTACTGTCACAGCACACAGCTCAAATGTAAGTTCACATTAAAAATGAACAAAACTGGCAGAAAATATTCCACCCGCAGCCCACATCGTGTAATAGCGATTTATATTACAGGCTTTGACTTTAAAATAAACCCTTCTGGATGTTTTTTTTTTAACAAACCTGACCCAACAAAGTTTTGCCCAAACTTTCTGTTGCAATACGTCAGTGCAGGAAAGAAGACTGTGTTTATGGGTTCTATAATGTACTGGTTTTATTACAATTTACACACAGGTCTGGATTCTATTGCTGGGTGCTGTTTTTGGCTTTTCCTCCTATGGACCGATTGCCTTGTTTGGAGTTCTTGCGAATGAAAGCGCTCCATCGAACTACTGTGGGACCTCTCACGCCATTGTGGCCCTGATGGCAAACGGTGATCATCATCTCAATTTTTTTACAGCAGCAGTAAAATTTTACTAACCTAATTTTACATGGAACTTTTCCATTACTTACATTTTGACTTTTACTCCTTTCCAAAGAAAAGTTACGTTAACCATTTGCCCATTTCAAAAAATACTAATGAGTTTTTTTGCATTTGTTTTGCTGGCAGTTGGTGGTTTCCTGTCAGGGTTGCCATTTGGAACCATTGCTAAACACTATGGCTGGAGCACAGCATTCTGGGTAGCAGAGATAGCCTGTACTGTCACCACAGTTGGATACTTCCTGCTCCGGAATATCCGCACCAAGATGGGAAGTTTACCCAAGAAGGCCGACTAAACATTAGGAGTATTATTTAAATGTCTTTTAACTCGTTTTTAAGATATGGTATGAAAAATAAAGGGCACAACTTGGCTAGGATTTTACTTTTGTGTTTATGAAATATAATAAATTCACCGTGGATATCTATTCCCAAGGTATTACACTATTTTAGCGACATATGAAATAGGATACCATGTTGTGTCACTTTCTGCACATCATGTTATTTATTCTGTTCATTTTAAAAACGGATGACAGTATTTTACATTGTTCTGAATCTGCTCACTCAGTGCTTACATTGCACAACTTTGTCTTTTGGTTAAGGCACGTTAAAGCCATTTCTTCACTGGTATTAACATTTTATTGCTATTGAAACAGGTAAAATAAATTTATTTCTTGTACCTTCCATGCATTTTAAAGCTTTAACTGGTCCTCTGTATCTGCAGTACTACAAATTCATAAATGTGTCTACTGAAATTTGACAACGTGTTATGTCACATGAATGTTTAATAGCACAATGAAATGAGTTTATATAAATAAAAAAGTTAGAGAAACTGATCAAGGTACAGTAGACTTTTCATATTCTGCCGACAGAAGGCAAATGACATGTACATTTAATGTAATAAATGTAAAGATGCTAATAAACATGTTTCAAAGAGCATGTATTGTGCATCTTGAGCTGCAAGCAAATCACAAAATTATAACTAAAAAAAAGAACACACCTGATAGGCATTTCTAAAGAGTAGAAAGGATTCTTCAGTGCAAAGTCTGAGTAGATCTCATAAATCTTTCTTAGAAGGGCATCAATACCAGACTGTCGAGGGTCAGCCAATACAATGAACTTTATACCTGCAAAATAAAAAAAACAGTTCTGTCAAAATCACTGTGGTTTTGTTCAGCACAAAATTCTACATTCTATGACTAAATATAATTTGCCCTTACAACAAGAGAAAAACAGTCCTGTGAGTGTTTGACAGCAGTGCAGTTTAAACATGTCTGTCTCCAGCATTTCAATGCCAGAGCTGCCAACTTCAGGTGATAATTGTGATCCAATGGCAAACAGCCTTAGAAAAGACAAAATATATATCTAATCATCACAGGTACAATGCAGGTACAACCGTATTTTGTGTATTATTCATGATCAGGGGTTTATTAAGAATGTTATGCTTCTGATTATGAGTAATGTATATATTACACTACCACTCAAAAGTTTGTGATCAGTAACCTTTTTGTTAAGAAATTAACACTTTTATTCAGCAAGAACACATTAAACTGATCAAAAGTGATAGTAAAGAAATTATTTTGTTACAAAAGATTTTGATTTCAAATCAATTTTGTTGAATTTTCTATTAATCAAAGAATCCTGAAGAAGAGTATCATGGTTTCTAGAAAAATAGTAAGCAGCACAACAGTTTTTAACATTTATAATAGTAAGAAATGTTTCTTGAGCAGCAAATCAGCATATTAGAATGATTTCTGAAGCATCATGTGACTCTGAAGACTGGAGTGATGATGCTATGCATCATAGGAATAAATTACATTTTATATATATATATATATATATATATGTGCTGTCAAACGATTAATCGCTTCCAAAATATTTTTTTTACATAATAAATGTATGTGTACTGTGTATATTTAATATGTACACAGTATTAATTTAAACATTTAAAGTATTAACATTTAAATACACACACATGCATGTATACATTTCAGAAAAAAATTTGTTTATATATTAAATATATTTATTTATAATATAAATTATATGAATATAAATATAGACATGTAAATATTTTCAAAATACATACTGTATGTGTGTGTTTATTTATATATACATAATAAATATACACAGCACACAAACATATTATGCAAACAAAAACTTTTATTTTGGATGCGATTAATCGCGATTAATCGTTTGACAGTACTAAATAAATAAATAAATATATGTTACTTTAAATTGTAATAATATACTGCAGTTTTTACTATATTTTGATCCAATAAAAGTAGCATTGGTGGACATAAAAGACTTCATTAAAAAACTAAATAAAGTAACTAAATAAAATCTTCCCGACCTCAAACTTTTGTATGGCAGTGTATATAATAAAATACACTGCCTGTCCAAAAAAGGTCACACACTGTAATATTTTCTTGGACTGTCTTTCCAAGAGTTGCATTAATTTTTGCCCAAGATGAGAGAGTTGAACCACTCTGTAATGTTGACTCCAGCACTTCCTAAAGACTTTCAATAGGGTTAAGCTCAGGACACTGCGGTGGCCAATTCATACATGAAAATGATATCTCATGCTCACTGAACCACATTTTCACAATTTGGGTCCAATAAATCTTGGCATTGTCATCTTGGAATATAATATACACATGGATTCGTCTTCCAACATGGTTGTTTAAGAAATTAAAAGCTACACACTGCATCAGTTAGGGCTAAAAGAACTCTTGCAAAATATATAACATGCCAGAAATATATTAATCACTTCAATAATGATCCCATCCTAGACTCCTCAGTTTTTGCTTATTTAAATCCTAATGGCGACTTTTTATTGATTGATTGATTGGTTTATTGGCCAGTCAGTGTATTTTATGTATGACACAATTTAAGTATACAAGAATAAAAACATACCAACATAAGATAAATAACATGGTTGCGTTGTTCTGTAGAACACAAAAGTGTATGCCTTAAAATCTCCTAATGTGTTTCAGTGACTGAAGTACATCATACCTGTTTGAAACAACATTACAGCAATGGGTTAAACTATTGTTTAATGAAATCTACTCACGAATGAAACATTGATGCCAGCATGAGCTTCTCATTGGAGGTGAGACGAGGTCGCCCAAATCTGATGGACACTGGATAGTTGGCAGGATCTCTCAGATATTCCAGGATCTCCTTCCCTTCAGCTGTGTATTTAACATTCACATCCACCCCGTTAATGGACAGAACCGCATGACCCACTGCACACGAGAAACACATGCTGAACTGCAGCGATGGACCTGTAACTAGGCCTGTTTTTACGATAACAAATTTTTGTTGTGTGATATATTGCCCCAGAAATAATCGCGATAAGCGATATTATTGTCATTTTTGCATTTTATGCCACTGGATATATAATCATAATGTAAAAGCATAATAACGCAAGAAGGCCTTACTTCCAAATGACAACAAACTTGAATTTTTAAGAATATTTAGATCATGGAAATTAATTTTTCCCTGACCTTCTTTTCTCTGTAAATTAAGGGTGCACTGTATTGCTGAAAAACACAATCACTACTCAGCAGTCAGATGTCTGTATGCACAAAGGCACAGATCCCTAAACAAGGCCATATCTGCAGATGAAACTTTTTTTGTAGAAGCATTTTTTTAATTTGAACTAGGACCTCATAACCACACCATGTTATGTACGAGAAGCTGCAAAAGACACAAGCGCAAGTGGACTGTACAAAACACGGTGACATTAATTTAAGTAAATATAATGGGCGATATATTTCGTCACCAACAATTTAGGTCATGTACATATATTGCGCGATAAGTCGATATATTGACTATTGCGACAGGCCTACCTGTAACTGTGTATGAATACATGGGATGGTTTGCAGACACACACACACACACTCTCTCTGACCCCGTCCCGCTGTCCGAATGAGACAACCACCTTCTCATCATGAATCTTTAAAACTATATCAAGCCGAAAGCTGAATGTTTTTTCAACTTCAGCTCGAGGTACATGTCGTACTGGTAGATGAGTCCACCGGCCTTATTGACAACAAACACACTGCAGATCGCCATCTTTCTTCTATGTCAGCGGGGCAGTCATGTGACTTACATAGGGAAAATATGAAATAACAGCAATAAAAATATTATAAACAGCGCATACCACGCTGTCTACAAATTATTATTTTAATATAAAAATTAAGTAATAACTATTGCGGAGTATTTTTGTGTACGAATAAACACTTTTGAGCGTTCGATGGTTGGAAAACTTCATTTCCCATAACACCATACCGGCCGCGTGCACTGATCTGATTGGTTGACGTGCATATTCTATTAATTTCAGAATATTAACGGACAGGGCTTTGCACTATGGTATTAAATAATAATGATAGTTTAATGTTTAATTTTTCCGTTCAATTCTCATTTATTGTTATTACGGTGTAAATTAAAAAAAAGATCGAGTAGGCACATGGTACCTGTTACTTTTCTCAACGCTTTCAGGATGGACGAATCACAGTTGTTTCTGATTACATATTAACGAATGTGTAAAATAACTGTGTGAACATTTTAATCTGTAATTCAGTTACCAATATTTAAAGTTATTCCATTTTAATGAACCAGTTTAAAAGACTTAAAATATATCTTCATGCGGCTCAAAGAGAGATTGGGGTTTCTGAGCTCCCAAGCGCCCTCTGGAGACAGACAACAATATTTCTTGGAAAACGGTGATAAGCTACATAACAGAATGCGCATACTATGGAAGCCCGTTTCCGCCACTGAATAAAAATAATAAAAAAAGGTAATTGCCACTTTTTATCTCGCAATTCTGACTTTTTTTTTCACAGAATTGTGAGATATAAACTCGCAATTGTGAGTTATAAAGTCAGAATTGCGAGATATAAAGTCAGAATTGTGAGATATAAACTCGCAATTGCGAGTTATAAAGTCAGAATTGCCAAGCGGCAACCTCCCGCTCTCTCTGGTGAAGCCAACACGGAAGTGACCTAAACTGTAATTCATCAACTGGCCGCTAGAGGCTGGCTGCAAAAGGGAGTGAATCCCATAGACTTCCCAAGTTAAAACGCCCAACTTTACAGCAGAAAAAAACGTTTACAGCCTGGTTCAAAAAAGGATTTTGGTCTATATAGCTAATTTTGCCCTTCATGACAACTGTGAGGGGCGTGAACTTTTTTATAACTCATCCGATTAAATTATATTAAGCCTTAAAGTTCTGCATAATTAAGGGCGTGGCCACTTGAGTGACAGGTGGATTGCCGCTGCTGTACATAAAAGACTTCATTAAAAAACTAAATAAAGTAACTAAATAAAATCTTCCCGACCTCAAACTTTTGTATGGCAGTGTATATAATAAAATACACTGCCTGTCCAAAAAAGGTCACACACTGTAATATTTTCTTGGACTGTCTTTCCAAGAGTTGCATTAATTTTTGCCCAAGATGAGAGAGTTGAACCACTCTGTAATGTTGACTCCAGCACTTCCTAAAGACTTTCAATAGGGTTAAGCTCAGGACACTGCGGTGGCCAATTCATACATGAAAATGATATCTCATGCTCACTGAACCACATTTTCACAATTTGGGTCCAATAAATCTTGGCATTGTCATCTTGGAATATAATATACACATGGATTCGTCTTCCAACATGGTTGTTTAAGAAATTAAAAGCTACACACTGCATCAGTTAGGGCTAAAAGAACTCTTGCAAAATATATAACATGCCAGAAATATATTAATCACTTCAATAATGATCCCATCCTAGACTCCTCAGTTTTTGCTTATTTAAATCCTAATGGCGACTTTTTATTGATTGATTGATTGGTTTATTGGCCAGTCAGTGTATTTTATGTATGACACAATTTAAGTATACAAGAATAAAAACATACCAACATAAGATAAATAACATGGTTGCGTTGTTCTGTAGAACACAAAAGTGTATGCCTTAAAATCTCCTAATGTGTTTCAGTGACTGAAGTACATCATACCTGTTTGAAACAACATTACAGCAATGGGTTAAACTATTGTTTAATGAAATCTACTCACGAATGAAACATTGATGCCAGCATGAGCTTCTCATTGGAGGTGAGACGAGGTCGCCCAAATCTGATGGACACTGGATAGTTGGCAGGATCTCTCAGATATTCCAGGATCTCCTTCCCTTCAGCTGTGTATTTAACATTCACATCCACCCCGTTAATGGACAGAACCGCATGACCCACTGCACACGAGAAACACATGCTGAACTGCAGCGATGGACCTGTAACTAGGCCTGTTTTTACGATAACAAATTTTTGTTGTGTGATATATTGCCCCAGAAATAATCGCGATAAGCGATATTATTGTCATTTTTGCATTTTATGCCACTGGATATATAATCATAATGTAAAAGCATAATAACGCAAGAAGGCCTTACTTCCAAATGACAACAAACTTGAATTTTTAAGAATATTTAGATCATGGAAATTAATTTTTCCCTGACCTTCTTTTCTCTGTAAATTAAGGGTGCACTGTATTGCTGAAAAACACAATCACTACTCAGCAGTCAGATGTCTGTATGCACAAAGGCACAGATCCCTAAACAAGGCCATATCTGCAGATGAAACTTTTTTTGTAGAAGCATTTTTTTAATTTGAACTAGGACCTCATAACCACACCATGTTATGTACGAGAAGCTGCAAAAGACACAAGCGCAAGTGGACTGTACAAAACACGGTGACATTAATTTAAGTAAATATAATGGGCGATATATTTCGTCACCAACAATTTAGGTCATGTACATATATTGCGCGATAAGTCGATATATTGACTATTGCGACAGGCCTACCTGTAACTGTGTATGAATACATGGGATGGTTTGCAGACACACACACACACACTCTCTCTGACCCCGTCCCGCTGTCCGAATGAGACAACCACCTTCTCATCATGAATCTTTAAAACTATATCAAGCCGAAAGCTGAATGTTTTTTCAACTTCAGCTCGAGGTACATGTCGTACTGGTAGATGAGTCCACCGGCCTTATTGACAACAAACACACTGCAGATCGCCATCTTTCTTCTATGTCAGCGGGGCAGTCATGTGACTTACATAGGGAAAATATGAAATAACAGCAATAAAAATATTATAAACAGCGCATACCACGCTGTCTACAAATTATTATTTTAATATAAAAATTAAGTAATAACTATTGCGGAGTATTTTTGTGTACGAATAAACACTTTTGAGCGTTCGATGGTTGGAAAACTTCATTTCCCATAACACCATACCGGCCGCGTGCACTGATCTGATTGGTTGACGTGCATATTCTATTAATTTCAGAATATTAACGGACAGGGCTTTGCACTATGGTATTAAATAATAATGATAGTTTAATGTTTAATTTTTCCGTTCAATTCTCATTTATTGTTATTACGGTGTAAATTAAAAAAAAGATCGAGTAGGCACATGGTACCTGTTACTTTTCTCAACGCTTTCAGGATGGACGAATCACAGTTGTTTCTGATTACATATTAACGAATGTGTAAAATAACTGTGTGAACATTTTAATCTGTAATTCAGTTACCAATATTTAAAGTTATTCCATTTTAATGAACCAGTTTAAAAGACTTAAAATATATCTTCATGCGGCTCAAAGAGAGATTGGGGTTTCTGAGCTCCCAAGCGCCCTCTGGAGACAGACAACAATATTTCTTGGAAAACGGTGATAAGCTACATAACAGAATGCGCATACTATGGAAGCCCGTTTCCGCCACTGAATAAAAATAATAAAAAAAGGTAATTGCCACTTTTTATCTCGCAATTCTGACTTTTTATTTCACAGAATTGTGAGATATAAACTCGCAATTGTGAGTTATAAAGTCAGAATTGCGAGATATAAAGTCAGAATTGTGAGATATAAACTCGCAATTGCGAGTTATAAAGTCAGAATTGCCAAGCGGCAACCTCCCGCTCTCTCTGGTGAAGCCAACACGGAAGTGACCTAAACTGTAATTCATCAACTGGCCGCTAGAGGCTGGCTGCAAAAGGGAGTGAATCCCATAGACTTCCCAAGTTAAAACGCCCAACTTTACAGCAGAAAAAAACGTTTACAGCCTGGTTCAAAAAAGGATTTTGGTCTATATAGCTAATTTTGCCCTTCATGACAACTGTGAGGGGCGTGAACTTTTTTATAACTCATCCGATTAAATTATATTAAGCCTTAAAGTTCTGCATAATTAAGGGCGTGGCCACTTGAGTGACAGGTGGATTGCCGCTGCTGTCACCACCGTCGAGCTAGGTGGGCGTGGCTTCAGCATCCTGCTCCCGCCTCTTTGCTCATTTTCGATTATCCGGGAGTGACGCGCTGCCAAGATGGCGACGGCCGGCTCCGCCTACTTTAGGCTTCAAAAACGCTCTTCGGAACCCTACGGGTGACGTCACGGACACTACGTCCATATTTTTATACAGTCTATGATAATTGCATGATATAAACTCGCAATTGCGAGTTAAAGTCCAATTTTGAGTGGGGGGATAAAGACTGATATGTTCTCAGAATTGCGAGTTTATATCTCACAATTCTGAGAAAAAAGTCAGAATTGTGAGATAAAAAGTCGCAATTACCTCTTTTATTTTTTATTCAGTGGCGGAAACGGGCTTCCATAGCATACAGTATTAGAGTAATTTATTTCTCTATCACTATCAATGTAAAGTGTAAAAAAATATATTAATATCCTTATGGTAATCATACCTTCTAATTGATACCATTTTCTTGCATCAAGTATGTAAAGATTTTGAAAGGTCCTGTTTTTAACGAAAAACACGATAGGGGTTCGAAGCAATGGCCTAGGAAAAGTTTATCTTTGAGGTCCGGAGAAATAAGACAACGGAACACATTTCTCATCCTCCTGACCCCCTGTATGTCATGCTCGGGTCCCCAAAATGAGAGACAAACTCACCGACCAGGTATTTTATGAGTAATGCCTATACTTTCAACAGAAAAGTTTACTTAGGAAATAATACTAATAATTACTTGTTAGAATGCTTTATATGAGACTAATCTCATGTCTCATACATTGCTATCATACATCATTACAGATGTAGACATTGATTTACGACAAACAACCTTTTCCCTAACTGTGCGTAAAATACGTTAAGGATACCCATTTGCCTTCTAGCATTACCAACACCAGGATTAGTAAGGTCTTTATTATACATTCTTCTGTTTGCAATAGTATTTGCTACAGACTGCCTTGAATGGTGAATAAACGCGTTGAAACCCGTCATTGTCTTTGCTGGCAGAGGGAGGTCAGGGGTCAGATACTGATGGACGTGGTCAGCTGTTTGTCTTATGATTGCACACTTCTGCCTCCAACCACAGGATGTGTGCCATCCAGCCTAAGCTTTGACTGAGTTACAGTTTCTCATGCTTACTTATCAGCATCCTTTTAAGAGATACAAAAATACATTATAATATTTTATTATTTAGTATGAAATGTATCATTTTAATCTGCGTAGATGTATTCAGTTGATTAAAATTGATAGTAAAGACATTTATAAATGTTACAAAAGATTTCCATTTTAAATAAATGCTTTACTTCTGAACTTTCTATTCATCAAAAACTCCTTAATTGATCACAGTCCACAAAAATAAGCAGCACAACTGTTTTCAACATTGATAATAATAAGAAATGTTACTACCAAATCAGCATAGTAGAATGATTTCTCAAGGATCGTGTGAATGTAATGATGCTGACTGAAATGGTGTTATTTGAAACTGTAATAATATTTCACAATTTTATTGTTTAACTGTATTTTTGATCAAACAAATACAGCTGTGGTAAGCATAAGATACTTTTTGTTTAAAAAAATCTTGCAGAATTCAAACTTTTGCTGTATATAACTAGATTTTCTTAAAGAAAATGAGACTAATGCCCATTCAAAAGTCACTATACTATAAAATTGCTATACATTACAGCTATGACGTGTTTTTTGAGTGTTTGTAGGTGGTTCCTTACTGGCCCAAATGAAAAGAACACTATTTCCATAAGTCTGGTAAGTCTACTTATAAAAAATACCAGCACACATCTCCTCAGTGTCCTAAAAAATGTATGTCTAATATATCCATCATAACAGTCTGGAAATTTTATTTCCATTTTTGGATTAGTTTTGGGGGGTTGTTTTTTAACCATTTTCACAATGAGTCATTCTGACTCCTAAACTGCGTAAACTATGTAAGAGAGACAACACAAAGCTCAGAACATAACAGCTTCTGCTGTTCTGCTATTAATACTCCGTCCTGTTTTAGTGTGACCCGCCTTTATAGAGAAAGACTCGCTGTCCAACAGACAAGCAGATCCTCAATGAGCAAAGCCACTAACTTTAGTTTTACTATCCGGAGCTCGTGCTTAGAAAGTGACTCACATGCATAAAAGTCAAACAAGTGCAGAAAATGCTCTATAATTCTCTCTTGGCAGTCATTTTTTCCTTCTTCCCCCTCTCTCTACTCCTCCTTCCCTCCCTCCCTGAGAAACAACACAACTAGCTACTGGTGTTTATGGGTCTTGCTAATGAATCCACTCTTAAGTGATCATTAAAGCCTTACGTTTCCGTAACGCGAGGTGTAGAGACCTCTGAAGGATATGTGAGCTCCTGAGAGGAAGTTTGGGAAGGGGGGGTGTCTGCACTGAGACTGATCCAGAATCAGATTTATGGAAGGCAGCTGTTGAGGGTTTGACAGACAGACGGATCGGAGCACTGCTGCATAACACAATCAGATTCGAGTCTGCAGAGGAGTGTGTCAGCTCATTCTAAAACAGCAAGGGTAAGTCACATTTTTAAGTTATAACTCTTATTATATTTTATTCAAGTTTGATTTTTGACTTGATTTTTTAATATCAGTCTTGTTTCTCATGCCTAATAATGTTTATATGAACAGAAAATATGGAATAACTGTAGGTATAAATGAATGTAAACCTGATTCTAATCACAATGATTAAACAATGTTCATTGTTGCTTGGTAAATTATATCATCTTTTACTCATTAATGTAATCCAAATAAAGTATCAAAATGCCCACATATCCAATAAAAATACAACTTTTAATGGGGTGCACTTACTTTTGCACCAAACTGTATTTTAATCCCTTTTTCATGTTGTTAAAATATTACCATGAGCCACTGAAATGAAGAAATAGTCGCACTTCTGAGGCCGAACATATGAATTCTCAGTCATATTTTTTGCACTCTGATCATTATTTCAAACACTTGTTTTTCCTTTTTAAAATGAGAGCACGATCCTGGGACCTATTTTTAGAGGGCCGAGGCATTACGGCGCGCTAGAGTTATGCAGAAAGCAAAATTAGACGGAGTGGGGAGAGCTTCATACAGCTTGTTATGTTTGCCCAAAGCCGCTCTCCACAAGCTCTTATCTGGGCTCCTCAGAGAACTGGTTTTCCCACCTCATAACTGTTTATCCTCCAGCAGAACTCCACAGAAACAGAGCAATATCACGCCCGCTCAGTCTTCCTGGGTCCTCTTGATATTTGATCAGGTCCAGCTTTGACACCACGAGGATCTCGGAATCTCTGTTAAAAACAAAGTCAGACTTGGAAAGACGGTGTTCTGCTGTAATTTTTTTTTCTCTTGGCAGCTTAGACGAGACTGGAAACAGTGAAAGAGCATCAGTAGGGTGGGTTCATGGAAAAAAGTCCTGAGAGAGAAAGAGAGAGGCTGTCTGTGAGCAACTTGTGGAGTCAAGATGTTTACTTTCTTGTACGACTTTAATGATCCTCTGCAGCCATTGATATCGTATGAATGTTTAATTACTGGCTGGTAATTATGTTTTAAAAGGGATTAGAAAGGAATGGGAATTGGATCATGCAGCTCCAAACCCAAGGAATGTTTGGATGAGTTGCTGGGGAGGCACGAAGGCTGTGTTTCAGTTTTTCCTTCATCTGACAATGGCATGTTCACTCAGTATTTGATTCTGAAATGAAAGTGAATGTTGTACTACATACAGCACTCTCTTGACAAAAAAAAAAACATCTCAGAGATCTCCGTTTTGACAGAAAACAGCAAATATAATGAGATTTATATTTTATCAAGAAAATGTGAAGCTGGTTACTAGGATGTTTTTAAACGGTTGAAGATGTTTTGAGTGGTGTTAAGCACATTGCTACACCACTGTTTGAAAGTTTGGGGTCAGCAATACAGCAATGATGCATTAAACTAATCAAAAGTGACAGTAAACACATTTATATTGTTACAGATGATTTCTATTAAAATACGTGCTGTTCGTTTGAACTTGCTGTTCACCAAAAACCCTGAAAAATCCACAAACATTTTAAGCATCACAACTGTTTTAACTGTTTTTTTGTTTGTTTGTTTTGAGCAGCAAATCAGCAAATTAGAATGATTTCTGAAGGGTCATGTGACTCTTAAGACTGGAGTAATGATGCTGAAAATTCAGTTTCGCATCACAGGAATAAATTACACTTTATATTTTGGAAAAAAATTGTTTTAAATTGTACCAATATTTTACAGTATTACTGTTTTTTATAGAGTTTTTGATCAAATAAATGCAGCCATGGTGAGCATAAGAGACTTCTTACCGAAGACTTTACCATCCACAAACTTTTGAACGGTAGTGTATGTGGTTGCTAGGGTGTTTTGGGTAATTTAGAATAATAATTTAGCACACTAGCATACTCAAGCATACTTAGCATACTTAAAGGAACACTCCACTATTTTTGAAAATAGGCTCATTTTCCAACCCTAGAGTTAAACAGTTGAGTTTTACCGTTTTCTAATCCATTTAGCCGATCTCCAGGTCAGGCGGTAGCACTTTTAGCTGTAGCTTAGCATAGATCATTGAATCTGATTAGACCGTTAGCATCTCGCTCAAAAATGACCAAAGAGATTCTATATTTTTCCTATTTAAAACTTATATAATCAAGGAACTTTACTGCCGTACCATGGGCGCAGCAGGCGCAATGATATTACGCAGCGCCTGAAAATAGTCCCCAGCACGCTCCCTGTGCAAGCAGGTGGTCAAGTTGATTATGTTGACGGAAGTTAGCCTGTTTTCAGGCTCTGCGTAATATCATTGCGCCTGCTGCACACATGGTATGGCAGCGAAGTTCCTTGATTCGCCGGAATGAGAGTATAGTTCCTAGCCATATCGGCCTAGAAAATCGCAACTTTTCTTTTTCGTAGTACACGATGTAACTACAGAAGAGTCAAGTTTTAAATAGGAAAAATATAGAAACTCTTTGGTCATTTTTGAGCGAGATGCTAATCAGATTCAATGATCTATGCTAAGCTGCAGCTAAAAGTGCTACGCCAGACCCGGAGATCGACTGAATGGATTCGAAAACGATAAAACTCAACTCTAGGGGAGTTGGAAAATAAGAAAATTTTCAAAAATAGTGGAGTGTTCCTTTAAAGACCTTTTTTACCCCTAGTATTAATGTCTGCAAGTGGTATTTCTTAATAGGGTTTCCCTTTATGTCTGTGTTTCCCATTTTGGTTACACTTTAGAATAAGAAACTATTAAATAAGGGCTTTCCCTCAATAAACTGCAAATTGTCTGCTTATTAATAGTTAGTAAGATAGTTGTTAAGTTTAGGTATGGGGTCGGATTAAGGGATCTAAAATATGGTCATGCAGAATAAGGCAGAATAATTGCTTTATAAGTACTAATAAGACAGCTGATATTCCAGTAATATGCATGCTAATAAACAGCTAGTTGATAGTGAGAATTGGTTCTTAAAATAAAGTGTTACCAATATTTGTTGTTGATTAAAGGAACACTCCACTATTTTTGAAAATAGGCTCATTTTCCAACCCTAGAGTTAAACAGTTGAGTTTTACCGTTTTCTAATCCATTTAGCCGATCTCCAGGTCAGGCGGTAGCACTTTTAGCTGTAGCTTAGCATAGATCATTGAATCTGATTAGACCGTTAGCATCTCGCTCAAAAATGACCAAAGAGATTCTATATTTTTCCTATTTAAAACTTATATAATCAAGGAACTTTACTGCCGTACCATGGGCGCAGCAGGCGCAATGATATTACGCAGCGCCTGAAAATAGTCCCCAGCACGCTCCCTGTGCAAGCAGGTGGTCAAGTTGATTATGTTGACGGAAGTTAGCCTGTTTTCAGGCTCTGCGTAATATCATTGCGCCTGCTGCACACATGGTATGGCAGCGAAGTTCCTTGATTCGCCGGAATGAGAGTATAGTTCCTAGCCATATCGGCCTAGAAAATCGCAACTTTTCTTTTTCGTAGTACACGATGTAACTACAGAAGAGTCAAGTTTTAAATAGGAAAAATATAGAAACTCTTTGGTCATTTTTGAGCGAGATGCTAATCAGATTCAATGATCTATGCTAAGCTGCAGCTAAAAGTGCTACGCCAGACCCGGAGATCGACTGAATGGATTCGAAAACGATAAAACTCAACTCTAGGGGAGTTGGAAAATAAGAAAATTTTCAAAAATAGTGGAGTGTTCCTTTAAAGACCTTTTTTACCCCTAGTATTAATGTCTGCAAGTGGTATTTCTTAATAGGGTTTCCCTTTATGTCTGTGTTTCCCATTTTGGTTACACTTTAGAATAAGAAACTATTAAATAAGGGCTTTCCCTCAATAAACTGCAAATTGTCTGCTTATTAATAGTTAGTAAGATAGTTGTTAAGTTTAGGTATGGGGTCGGATTAAGGGATCTAAAATATGGTCATGCAGAATAAGGCAGAATAATTGCTTTATAAGTACTAATAAGACAGCTGATATTCCAGTAATATGCATGCTAATAAACAGCTAGTTGATAGTGAGAATTGGTTCTTAAAATAAAGTGTTACCAATATTTGTTGTTGATAAACGTGTAGTTCATGGATCAAATGCAATTAAAATGCAATTCATAAATACAATGATTTGAACATATTGCTTCGATAAGCATACTTTTAATTTCAGAATTAAAATGAATTTTCAACTGCTTCTCTGCTTATTTAAAAACTTTCCTTTACCAAATCAAAGTCATGTGGTACAAACAACTTACAGAACAAAAATCAAGGTGTGTCAAGGTCAATAAGTATCTAATGTATCAGATAATTTGACTAATGACAAGTCAAGGTTAGTTCAGGCTGTAAAATATCTTGTGTACTTTCCATGAATTGTAGTTTTAATGTGTTGACCACGAATCTTCATTCCCAGATGGTGCGTGAGCAGTACCTCACCACCACAGATGAGTCTGGGGCTCTGGCTCCAGTCAATGAGTACATCTACATGATCGGCATCTACGGCTGGAGGAAACGCTGCCTCTATCTGTTCGTTCTGCTTCTCCTCATCATTCTGGTGGTGAACTTTGCCCTCACGATCTGGATCCTGCGAGTCATGTGGTTCAATACGGTGAGAGAACTTCCCTTAAAGGACTTCAGATCACATATGTAATCCATTTTTAATAGAAATATGAATCCACATTTAGATTTTGCCCTTGGTTGAGCCACTTTATCTCAGTTGGCCACTGCATGCTGTCACATGAAGTCACACTGATGCTGAGAAAGCACTCTGTGTTGTTGGCTGTTGCAGGAAGGCATGGGATACCTGCAGGTCAATGAAGATGGACTGAGACTGGAGGGAGAATCTGACTTTTTGTTCCCTGTCTATGCCCAGGAAATTGACTCCAGAGAGGTAAGAGGTATTTACACTTAAACATGGATAAATAGATTGATTTAGTTGCCCATTTTGTCCATTCTCATCTTCATTACAGGATTCAGCTCTTCTGGTGCACTCCTCTGAAAACGTTACACTCAATGCCCGCAATGCCAATGGTGATGTAACAGGAAGTGTGTCTGTAGGTATGAGATACACAAAACACTTATTGGCTGATTACATGATTTTGACATCTTTCTCAGTGTATTGTATTGCATTATTAGTTTTGGTCCAAAAACAAAAACTACAGAGCTTTGATCATAACAATAAGCAGTTTAAATGCTTATTGAAAGATGGAAAGATGGAAAGATGGCGCCGACACTGATGGCTGCCTCCGTGGCGTGCTCCGCAGTTGTTTTTATGTTTTTGTTAGTTTGTCCTGTCTTTAGTTATATCCCTGCAATCAGTTTCACCAGAGACGAATTGCTGGACATTCGGAAGTACACACCACCCGATATTTCACCGGTTTTTGATTATTCTGATGTTTTGCTGGACATTGTTGTCGGGGGAGCTGCGGCGCTGATCAAACGCTTCAGGACGCGCAGACGGGGGAAGCGAGCCGGCGCGCTCGTCAAGCTCAGACAGCGCGGATTCAGGACGCCGTTGCCAAGCATCCATCTGGCAAATCTCCGCTCTCTACCCAACAAAACGGACGAACTCCTTCTGCTCTCCCGGACAAATAAGGATTTTTCAAACTCTGCTGCTCTGTGTTTCACGGAAACCTGGCTGAAAGACGCCATTCCGGACAGCGCGTTGATCTGCCGGGCTTTCAACTGTTCAGAGCAGATCGCGACGCAGAATCAACGGGGAAATCGCGCTCTGATTCTTTAATATATCAGTCACGTTCATGTTTTCTTTTGTTACAGTGGTTTTTGATTAATCCTCTCCTGTTCCCCATTCTGTTAGTCATCATCCTCTGTGTATTTAAACCCTGAGTTCTCTTCTGTTTCTTTGTCTTGTGTTGAAGTTATGTTCATTTTGTTGTGGTGGTGCTCTTTCATTTTCTTAGTGTGTTTATTGCTCATTCCGCATCATGTGTCTTTCCCTTTTGGATTACCACCAAATTACTACCTGACAATCATCATACATCATACATGTTATAAAGAACTCTCTGATTTACATTACAGCCAAAATTTCATCTTACGTTTTGCCTATATAAATAACAGCAACTGCACTTGTTTCCGTTGTGTTGCGACTTGTTTCTGATGTGTTGTGCTAATTACGTTGTGTTTCATCTTGTTTCTGTTGTGTTGTGGCTTGTTTCTGTTGTGTTGCGACTTGTTTCTGTTGTGTTGTGCTAATTACGTTGTGTTGCATCTTGTTTCCGTTGTGTTGCGACTTGTTTCTTTTGTGTTGTGCTAATTACGTTGTGTTGCATCTTGTTTCCGTTGTGTTGCGACTTGTTTCTTTTGTGTTGTGCTAATTACGTTGTGTTGCATCTTGTTTCCGTTGTGTTGTGGCTTGTTTCTTTTGTGTTGTGCTAATTTTGATGTTGTGGCTTGTTTCTGTTGCATTGCGACTTGTTTCTGTTGTGTTGCGGCTTGTTTCCGTTTTGTTGAGACTTGTTCCCGTTGTGTTGCGGCTTGTTTCCGTTGTGTTGCGGCTTGTTTCCGTTGTGTTGCGGCTTGTTTCCCTTTCATGGGAACTTCGAACTGCATCGAACTGCAATCGGCGTGCACTGCAAGCGTTTTTTCCAAGGAAAAAAGCTCCGCTCTCGTTTGTCTCTCTTTTCGAG